CTGCCGTGGCGCCGCAGCAGCAGCCGCCGCCCCGCGCGGCGGCGCGGGCGCGCGCGCCGCCACGCGCGCTGCGCGGGGCGGACCTCGTGCGGCGGGCCAACCTGGCGGGCCCCTCCTCCCTCTCTATTCAATGGGCGCTGGCCGAGCGGCCGGCACTCGGTGACGTCACAGCCCCCCACCTGCGGCTATCCATCCCCGTCCGGGGGCCCGCGCCGCTCTCGCTACCGCCCTGCCCTGTGCTGGAGGTCGATTTCACCCAGCCGGGCTTGTCCGACGCCGCCGCCGGCGGCGCCGGCGGCACCGGCTGCAAGTGGGCGCCGGGGCTGCTGTTCCCGCCGCCGGCGGCGGCGGCGGCGGCGGCGGCGCGGCTGGGGCGCGGCGGATACGTGGCGCGGCGCATCGCGGTCGCCAGTGGGCCTGTCGCGTGAGCGCCCGACCCGTTGCCTCCTTTTCGGTCCCGCTGCGTCCGCTCTTCTTGCCCATGCAGCCACCCCTGCACAGCACCCCTGTTCCCTCCAATGAACGTCTCACGCGCCCGCCTCCCCGCAAACCTGCCGCGTCGCGCTGGCTTTTGCGGGCACTGAGGCACCTGTCGGGTCGACCCCGGCGGCGGCCATCCTCCTGCTTACAAACCTGAGCTTGAAGCCCCGAATCTAAAACCCTGAATCCAAAACCCTGAATCCAAAACCCTGAATCCAAAACCCTGAACGCTCGGTCCCGCAGGTATGTCGACGCGTTTGCCCTGCTGGAGGGCATGCTGGGCGAGCCCTCGCGCCACGCGCTGGCCTGGAGCCGCGCCGGCGTGGACTGGGTCGTGGCCATCCACGGCGGCGGGGGTGAGCGCGCCGCGCGCCGCGCGCCGCACTCCGCATGCCGCGCCGCGCACCCCGCGCCGTGCATCGTGCGCCGCACGCCGCACGGCATGCGTGCAGGGCTGTGCAGGCTATTCGACGACGTGCGCTAGGGCGGGCGGGCGCGCAGCAGATGGGGCGGGGATCGAGGAGCCGGCCGTTTGCGCATGGCGAGGATGAATTGCCGCGGCGAGCGGCGCACCGCGGCGGCGGACCACCTAACCTGCACCGCCGCGCCCGCGCCCGCGCCCGTGCCCGTGCCCGCGCCCGCAGCCGGACTGTACGCGGTGGCGGTGCAGCACCTCTCGGACTGGCTGCTGCAGGCGCCGCCCGGGGAGCTGCTGCTCGGACTGTCCCCGGCCCGCGGGCGCGCGCCGTACGACGACGCGATCTCGGACTGCGCGCGCAGCGCGGCGCCGCTCGCCAAGCGGCGCCACCACGCGGCCGTGCTGGTGGGGACGCCGGCGGCGGTGCGGGCGGAGGCGGCGGCGCTGAGGGCGGTCGGGCGGGAGGTGTGCTGCATGCCGCGCGCCGCCGCTTGAGGTCGGGGGCGCACATGCACGCGTAGGGGGTCATGTATGCTTGCAGGAGCGGCGGCGGTGCGGGCAGACTGCGCGGCGGCGCGGAGCGCGAATGCGCGCCTCCCCTGCGCATGTATGGCAGTGCTCGGCGCATTGTTGGCGAGTGTACGTACCGTATCCAGGGTTTAGGAACCAGGTACAAACCCAGGGGCCATCCGGGTAGCAACGCACGAGAAGAGGCATAAAGAGCGGCCATGTGATTCATTCATGTCTTCCTCCAACATTCCACACCGCAAACAAGCACGCCGTCGCCGTCCACCTGTCAGTGGCGCCCTTTCTAACCCTGTGAAGATACGGGCGGCGCGCCCTTGCCCGCTTTGCACAGTGTATTTGCGGCTGGCAGCTGGCACATATCCTCATACGGAAACCGCCGCACGCTTTCTTTCTGCTTGCGCCGCAACGGCGGGTTTTCCGGTCGTCAGCCGCATGGAGGCCCCGCCTTCAAGGCACCCTGCGCACAGGCGGGCGGGTGCGATGGTCCCACTTTGTAAAGTTGTAATCGAATATAAATAGTGTCAATCATCAAAATTATACCGGCAGCCGCCGTGCACGCCTCATCGCCCACCACGCAATCTGCGGACCAGAGGCCATCCGGCATGGTTGACTGGTCCTGATTGCCTGGGCTGGGTTGGGAGGTGTTCAAACATCCCGTGGCGCGCCACACCCAGCCCCACAGGCTGGCGTGACGTGTGTGCTTTGGTGTTGTAAAGAAGCCTTGCGAGCTTTGCAGGCCAGGTCAGCGCCGCGGGTAGAATCAGGGATGGAGCGCAAAGGCACAGGGCAACTACCGGTGGGGTCGCCCCGGCCCTGCCCAGCCTGAAATGCACGCACCCCTCCTCTCGCGCGCGGCCGGCGAGCGGTGCCAACACCGTTCAGGGTGGGACGGCCGCCGTCGCTGCGCTGCTCTGCGCCGTGCGATGCAGGTGCTAGGGTTGAGTTTGCTGCTCCCTGTTGTCGCGGCGGCGCAGTCGCGGTGGGTTCGCCATGAGGCGCTCAGAGCATTCCGGCCGCGGCGTGCCGCGTGCGCGCGCCAACGCCGTTCCAGGCCACGTGGGCTGCGAAGCGGTGGAAGCGCTAGTAGCGAGATGCGGTCGCCGCTGTGGGCCGCCGGCCGCCTGAGGTTGGCCCGCTGGCCAACGGCAACCTGTTCGCGCACGGCTGGCGCGCAGCGAGCCAGCGACCTCTGCCGCCTGGGCCCCATTCGCGGTTCATGAGCACGTGATGAGTGACCTTTCACCTATTGGACCCGCTGTATACCCAGCATCTTGCTCTGCTTCCTTTGATGCCGGACATCCACAAGTGACTCGAGTGTGGCAGCGAGTGACTAGCAGCAAGAGCTCTGCAGCGCCAGTCCTTGTGTGCCAAACTCGATTTCGAAGGGCTCATACTGTCACACGCATTCATCTGTACGCGAAGCACTATCATCCAGCTAAGCTCTTCGACACGCAGCACAAATGGCGTGCTACCTCGGTTGCCGGGGCTGCTGCGCCAAGCTCCGCTGGCTCATCTTCATCCTTGCCACGCTCGCGGCCGTGGGTGAGCCAAGCAGCGCCAGAGAGGCATACCGTAGTCTGCGGGGTCCACGCCAGCCGCGGGCCCGTCATCGTTGATGCGCGGGTGGCGCAAGCGGAGTTGAGGAGGGAGGGATTTCTTCTGGACCTCCTTGCCGGTCTCACCCGCGAGGCGCTGGTGATCTATTGGGCAACAGTTCCCGTTGCCCCGACGCCCTCGGTCGCGCCCTTACCCCGCAGCATTCATTGTGGCCGGTTTGGTGAAGACCGTCACTCCCAATGGCGGCGAGTGAGTGCATGCGCAGCGTGCGAGGCGACCCGCAGTGCAGACGACGCGCCTGCGGCTCACTCTTACCTTCCAGCTGTACACGTCGACGCCTGCGGGCCGCGCATCACTCCGCCCCGACACTGAGCTTCGTCTACTGAGACAGGCCGCCTGCACCTCTTCGCCTGGCCATTGAGCTGACCCCTGCCACCTCTTGAGCACGGCGTTTCCCTCCTTGCGGCGCATGCCCCTCGCGCCTCGAATCACGCCGGCCCCCCTGCCTTTGGTCCCTCCCTCCCCTTCACCCTTCCAGCTGGAGGGCCCTGTTCGTGTGCACCACCAAGGACCAATCCATCCAGGACGGCGGCGTCTGGTGAGCCAAGGGCCGCGGCACATCGCGCCATTGCTTCTCGTCCCTGAACGACTGTCGTTCCCCCAACCACTGTCGCACCGTGCCGTGTTGCCACGGACGTTCGCATCACCTCCACATCTGCGCCGCCAAAGCACGACCCTGAAACCACGCATTTGGAACCGCCCACCACAACCCTGCAGCTGGCAGACGTTCTGGCGCAACGCCGGCGTGCCCTTTGTGGTGCTGTGCATCGGCGTCGCCGCGCTGGCGCTGTCGCTGCTGACCTGCTGCTGCTTCTGCTGCGCCTCGGCGCCCGGCTCCAGGCGTGCCAAGAAGGTCGGTCCAGGGGCAGCTTCTGGGGTGGCTAGGCGTGGGCAGCAAGGGTCGAGCGGATGGCTGTTCATTGTCCATTGCGGAGAGTACCCCGCACAGGAGAGGGCTGGCCGTCGTTGGGGCAGCGTGCGGCTTTTGGTAGAAGAGCAACGACGGCAGTCGCGACGCCACTGCCGCATCGCACTTTGCCCCATCCACTCACACGCGTCCCTACGCGCGTGCGTTTGAATGCAATATTTAAATATCACAGGACCAGCAGTTCATCCAGGGCGACACCTACGACACTGGCGCCCAGGGCGACCAGTATGCGTACGGCGCCCCCAAGCCCACTGTGGCTCACGTGTAATCGATCTGGACCCCGGACGCGGCCGGCAGGTGCTGTCGACCACGGATTCGGCGTCGCGCTGCCGCGTGCTGCAGGAGCTGCCCCTGCAGACAGGCGGCGCACGCTCGCGGGCGTGCTGCTATTGATTGACCAGGCGCGTTTGCTTTTTTACCGACCGCGATTTGTCCTTCGCCGGTATGTGTGCGCGCGCAGAGGATTCCGGCGATGGCACCGCGTTGCCCTTTTTGACCCACGGCCTGACCTAGCACCAGCCCCGGCTCCTGCACCGCACCCGCGGCAGCCGCGCGGGTGCCGCAGCGAGCGGCTCACCAATGCATGAACGCACATGCGATCTTGTGGCGGCGCGCGCAGCCGCGGCGCCGCGCGACTGGCTGTTTGCTTTGAGCGGGGTTTGAGCCACCCCATTTGACCTGAACGAATGCCGCGAGATTCTGGCGTGTAATCATAGGACTGAGGAGCAGGAGCTTGCACAAAAACAACACCATAACCAAGATTTGGATCTGAAATCTTCCCACCTGCAGTATAAATTTGTCACCAACAAGCAAGTGGGGCTCACAGGCCGGCGTCGCCGACGAGTGAGGCAGGGCGACGGCGCTTCCGCAGGGGCCCAACTCGAGCTGTATCGTAAACCAGTCCGGTCACGGTGGCTGCAACGCTTTGTGAAGCGCAGCCTTCAGGCCCCGCTGCCTGTGAGGGCGGGGCTTTCACAGTGGCTGTCAAAATGCGGCGCCTGTTTTGAAACTCTCAGGTGACTCGCGGCTGAAAGAGTGCAGCGGCGCCGGCCGTTGCGCGCTGGCGATGTGGCTGGTGTTGGCATTGCAACAGCTCGCGAAATGCCTGTGTGTTGTGTTGACAGACAGCGGCAACCAACTTCAGGATGCATGGGAGGCATGCACTTCGCGCCTTGCAAGCAGAAGTCATGCGTGGACCGCCACGATCGTTGAGGCTCGGGTTTGTCGCGGGGTGGCAACAAAGCGGTGTGACAAAGTGCAGGCCGGTGACAGCATCATTATCGTACCGGCGGCGGCGGTGTTGCCCGGCTGGGTGCCTGATTGCCCCGTATGACTTTGATGCATCACTGCAGCGATTACAATCTGTTGTTTGATATCGTCAGGGACGGATCGCGACTTGACAGGATGCCGCGTGGACGCCTGCTGTTGGCGGTGGGCCTGGTCCTATGTGAGCGTTCGGATCATTGCGAATCCCTTTCACACATGCGAATTGTCATGGATGTTAACTGCCACTCAAACGTGTGACTTCCCCTCTGCTTGCAGGCTGTGTTTGCACTGCCGCAGTGCGCGTGGCACCAGCGACATGGCTGCATAATGCTGACAAGGCGCTGGCGGTCGAGGGCGACAGCCAGAGAGTGGGCTGGGGTGGCGGCCGCTGGGCCTGCCTGGCAGGAGAACCGAGCTCTATGCTGAAGCTGCAGCTCACAGCGGGTGCCAGCACTGCTTACAGCACGCACCGGAAGCCGTTGCAAAACCCATGCATCGGCACCAGTGATGCCAGTACCTGCTGCACTCCTGTCGACTGACACCTGCATGCCCCGCTGCGTTTTGTGCATCCACGCAGCACAAAAGCACACATTGATACCCACACAAACGCTGAACATGTGCAGGGCAGAATGCCCCGTATGCCCCGACTGCCCCCGTCGCCCCAATTGTTGGGGCGATGACCGCCCCAAGCGCCCCAACGGCCCCAGCCACCCTGCTCAACCATCTGCTCCTTGCAGGGCAAGGAGTGTTACCTCATAAGGAAGGAGAAGATCTGCCTGTCCAACAGCAAGTGTGTGTGGTGTCACAACAAGTGAGTTGGGGTGCTGCTGTTGAGATGCGAACCGCGGGTCTCGCACCGAGCACGACTGCTGATGATGCGCCCAAGGTGCCAGTGGTGGCGGCGCTAGTGGCTCTCGCGGTGTTGCTGCGGCACCCGCGTTCCACCCGCAGGTGGAGTCCAACTCCTGGCAGCGACGGCGTCTGCGCAGCGGCGGACAAACAGGGCGAGCTGCCCGACTGGTGGGCTGTAGAACGCCTGGTTTCAGGGTTTACGGCTGCGCGGCAAGGGCAGATACCGCGTTTATAGGTTTGAGGCAGGATAATCAGTCAATGGTTCGGCGCAAACATGCGATGCCATTGCGTTGGCCGCGGTGCTGGGCGGGCACGCAAGGGGCGGTCGCAGCAGCGCGGCCTGCCGGAACGCGGTGTTGCTGTGAGCGTGCTCAAACTCTGATGAATGTCGTGCTGCACTCTTTGATCAGGGTGTATACTTGCCACCGCAAGAGACAACACGGCGAACTCCACATGCAAATGTGACGGGAAGGCGCTCGGACTCTTGCATCTCTACACGCTTGGAGATCATCACCTCCCTCGCGCCAGCCGGTTGGAAACTGGTCGCCTGCGGGGCGGTCGATGAGCTCGCTCTGTGCTCTTGCCGCCCACCAGACTCCAGTGGATGTGTTGATCGAGTGCCCTGCCACGGCTCACCTGCGTACTCCCTGCGTTGTCGGTTACACTGCTGCTTGATGCTGCCGCAGCCCCGTTACCTCGTTTGCAGGCGATCGTGCATAGCCTTGTCAACACCGCGTTGCCGAGCTCGTGAATTGCTGCTTTGAGCTTGCGCCCTTGTCCAGCTGCAAGACGGCGGCCGCCTGCGAACAAGGTACACCCGCCTTGCCTGGAGGAGCTGCGTGCTCAGGAGATAAGTCGGCCAGGGTTTTAGAGATCAAGAATAATTGCCAGAGGTTTACAAGAGCAAGGAGTGTGTGTGTGCGGCACTTTGAAAAGAGTAATTGCTTGATAGGTGCAATCAGGGAGTACAACTGGTGACGCGCCGTATGTGCATAATGCACGACTTTGTGCCGCGGCGTCACCGCAGGGTGCTGGCCTCGTACACAGGGGCATGCACAAACAAAAAAGCATTGCAAGTGTCAGCCGCCTTGCACCAGCTTAGCACCATAGACCATCAGAATGTTCATGTCAGCCATGCTATTGGCTGCCAAAGCAGAGGTTGGCGCAGGGATGCAGGCAACACGCTCATGGTGTACGTTGTGGCGTAGCCCATGCAAGCTGAACTGCATCTAACCTCGTTGAATGCACGGAGCGCTGCAGCAGCGCGGCCTACGCTGCCTACGGACACCTGGGCCGTCACACACACTCGCTTTTATGCCAAGCAACACGCTTACGGGCACGCTGCCGACTAACGTAAGCAGCGGAGCAGAAAAGCGAACAGAAAAGGGGCCATGCACGGGGCTGCTCGGCGCCATCGTGAGCCCCGGAGCCCGCTGAGTGATGACCTCGCAGCCGCCCGCGCGGCCACGCACCGACGCGTCCAGTGCCCTCAGCTCCAGCGGTCTGCCTTCAGGCCCCACTGGACCTCCTGCAGGTCCGCCTTACTTGAGTCCCCACTTGAGGTCCCGCACGTCTGACTTGAGCTCGTACTTGAGCTCCCGCACGTCCGACTTGAGCTCATACTTGAGGTCTCGCACGTCTGACTTGAGGTCCCATTTGAGCTGGTTGAGCTCTCTTGTGACCTCCTGCAGGTCCCGCTTGAGCTCCCAGTTGAGTTCCCTGAGCTCGGCAGAGGTCGCCAGCCCTCTCAAGATGTTGGATACACACACGCCCAGCAGCACGGCGCCCCAGCAATAGGTCGCGGCCTGTGCCAGCTGCGGGCGGGGCACCGATGATGATGTGTACGTCTCGGTGCAGGCCACAATGCAGATTGCATCGAGGTTGCAGAGATCCGATGGTGGTGCGATTGACAGCAGTGCAGTGCTGCCGTGCCCCAAGCAAGACAAACGCATGCTCCTGTGTTTGCGAGCCGGCCGCTGTGCGCAAAGTTGCTCAATACTCGTGGGAGGCGCCTAAGGCAAGGCCAAACCCTGCACCTAATGCCGACCATGCCATCAGGGCGTCCCAAAACCCCCAACCCACCACGCTGAGCACCTCCGGCTGCCAATCGCCGTCGCCGCCGCTGTTGCCGCGGCTGCCGACGCGCGTGCGCCGCACGTTTGAGCCGCGCCCGCCGCCGCGGCCGGGCTGCGTCATAAGAGGGTGGTACAGATGTTGTGAGTGGGCAATGTTGTTTGAGTGTGCGTGTCCGACCCTCCCCACATCTTCGTATCAGCGTGTTACATGTATCCTGCGCCAGCAGGCGCATTTGGACCCAACAGCTAGCATGGCTTAGTGCTGGTCACTGCTAAGCTGGATTAGGACGCAAGCTGAACAACACAATGCACAAACCCAACCCCCACATCTGGCGTTACTGACGGCTGGATGCCGATGCACAAAGCACAATGGCTGGGTGCCGCACCACCATGAGGGGCCTCATGCCCACACTTGCGAATGTTGTTGGTGCGCTTGCTGCTGGGGCTCACCTGCAGCGTCGCGCCCACGGCTGCGAGCCGCAGGCGCGCGTGCATCACGTTGCACATGCTCTGGCGTGGCGTGGCGAGCGCCGCCACTGGCCTTGCCTGCCGCGTCCCTAGCGCAGCACTGGGCCTGAGTGGCAGCATTGGCGCTGCCCGGGCCAGTCACAGATAGCTTCACCTGGCACAGGCCAGCGCTATCGCATCTCCCTCCTTTCTCTTGAGTACCGATAGCTTACGAAGATCGTTTCTGAAAACTTACTAGAGATTACGCGATCTGCACACCCGCTCGAGTCCCGACGCCCCGGCCCTTAGCGGTCGCCAGGACCCCCGAAAACTCACAGTATTTCATACAAACTGCGGTCACCGCCGAACTACCCCAAGGCGCCACGCGTCCCGCCTTCCGGTCCGGCCGCTGCCGCTCTATCTGCAGGGTGCCACGCGGCGCCGCCTCTCGCCTTGTTCCCATTACATTTTCATTCCAACCTCAAAGACCTTTGCTGATTGTGGTTATGATATTGACGTCAGTCGTGCTGCTTTGGCACCCACAAACTAAGCACACCCCCTCACAGAGCGCGATCCCTGGCAGCGGCAGCGTCTGTGCGGCGGCGGATAAACAGGGCGAGCTGCTAGATTGGTGGGCTGAACGCCTGATCTTGAAGTGTGCGGCTGCACGGCAAGCGACTCCACCGCGTTCATACAGGCAGGGGTGGCGGCAGGCGGCTAGGCGCACACGTGCAAGTCCAATACTGCTGCGACCACTGGGCCTGGCAGGCCCGCATGGGGGGGGGGGGGGGGATTGCTGCAGCGCGGCCTGCCGCAATTCAACGGCACAGTGCGTGATTGTGCTCAACCTCTGGCTCATCTTGCGCTGCATTCATTGATCAGGGACACCACGCACAAACGTGACGTGAAGGCCCGCCCTCAGACACGCGCACCGCGAGGTTTTTGGGGACAAGCGCCTCGCACACGTCAGGCGGTTGAAAACTTTTGCCTGCGTGGCAGTCAATGTGCTCGCTCTGTGCTCATGCTGCCCCCCGACTCCAGCGCACGCACGTGTGCCGTGGCTCACCTGCGTGCGCACTCCATCCCTGCGTTCTGCATCGCTGCTTGATGCTGCCGCAGTTCTGTTTGCTCGTTTGCGAGCGTTTGTGCCTAGCCTCGTCAGCTGCGCCCTGCTGAGCTTGTGCATCATTGCTGCTTTGAGCTTGCGTCCTAGTCCAGCCACAGGGCGGCCGCCTGCAAACAAGTTACACCGGCCTTGCCTGGAGTGAGGAGCTGCTAGTTGATGATGAGGAGAGAAGTCAGCCAGGTTCTCAAAGACCAAACTGATTAGTAGAGGTTGACAAGAGCCCTGAGTGTGTGTGTGTGTGTGTGTGTGTGTGTGTGTGTGTGTGTGTGTGTGTGTGTGTGTGTGTGTGTGTGTGAGGCACTTTGAAATGAGTAAGGGCGTGCTTAATAGGTGCAAGCAGGGAGTAACATAACTGGTGACGTGCCGTATGCGTATGCTGATAACGCATGATACCATGCCAGGGCGTCATCGCAATTCCCTGCTGGCCTCGTACGCAGGGGCAGACATAAACAAGTAAGCATTGCAAGTGCCAGCCGCCTTGCACCAGCTTAGCATGAATAAACATGAAAATGTTAGAAACACTTTCATACACAAAAACAACACATATCAGCCATGCTTTTGGCTGCAAAACCGCATGCTGGCACAGGGATGCAGGCAACACGCTCGTGGTGTGCGCTGTGACTCAACCCAAGATAAGCTGCGCCTAACCTCGTTGAATGCGCGGAGCGTTGCAGCAGCGCGGCCTACGCTGCCAGCGTATGTACACCTGGGCCGGCATACACACTCGCTCGCTTTTGTGTCAGTCAACACGCTTACGGGCACACTGCCGACTCGCGTAAGTTGCCGAGCAGAAAAGCGAACGTATGTAATGTGGACCATGGGGCTGCTCAGCGCCAGCCCCGGATCCCGGAGTCCGCCGTGTGGCCTGGCAGGCGCCGGTGCGGCCACCGATGCCTCCAATCCCCTTGCGGACTCCTCCAGCTCCAGCGGTCTGCCTGACTTGAGCTCCCACTTGAGGGTCACTCCCGCAGGTCAAATATAACGTCCCGTTTGACACGAGAGCGTTGTAGAAAATTGGTCGCCTACCACGCACAAGCCGGGACCTTCCTTTGTTGATTGCTTGCCCAGGCGCCCACCCCACTGGACATCAGGTTTGCTCGGCCGGACTGATGACACCCCCATCTCGCTGGCTGAACTGCCGCTGGCTGACTTACACAATGGCTAGCTGGCTGGGCCTCGCTCAGCACCCTATCTGCAAGGCCAAACCAGTTGCCAACAAGGCACCGCCCATGCTCCACCCTTCGACACTCTTGAGCTCTCGTTTGACCTCCTGCAGTTCGCGCTTGAGCTCGGCAGTGGTTTTCAGGAGTTCCATGAAGATAATGATAGACACGGCTTGCACAACCACCCAACAGCAGGAGCCGACCACTGCCAGCCGAGCCAGCTCCTGGTACAAGGTGTCCTGCGAGCAAGTGCGTGGGGCACTAGTAATGTGTACATCCTGGTACAGGCCACAATGCAGATTTAAGATTGCATTGAGTTTGCTTGCAAGATTCGGTGGTGGTACAATTGGCAGCATGTCCCGTGCCACCGCGCCCCAAGACGGGTGCATGCTCCTCACCAGCACTCCCTCCGCGAGGCCGCTGTGCACGCATATGGCTGCACGCTCGTCAAAGCTCGTAAGAGGCCCCTAAGGCAAGTCAAAAGCCTGCAAGCGTGCGGACCATGCCATCAGGGCGCCCCACAACCCCCAACCCACCAGGGATACCGGCTCGGGCCGCCGACCGCCGTCGCCGCCGCCGTCGCCGCCGCTGCCGATGGGTGTGCGGCGCACGTTTGAGCCGCCCCCGCCGCCGCCGTCGCCAGGCTGCGTCACAAGAGGGTGGTGCAGATCCCACGGGCGAGCTGTGTTGGTTGAGTGTGTGAGTATTCGACCTTCCCCACGTCTACATACATATCAATACCGTGTTACATGTATCCCTGCGTGCGTCACCTGGCGCCGCCGCATTTGGACCCAACGGCGTGGCGCAGTGCAAAACATGCTGGTAGGTCACTGCTCAACTGTACCAGGACGCACGCTCAGCGCAACAATGCACAAAACCAACACAGACATAAGGCGTTACTGCCTGCTACACGCCGACGCACAAAAGCACGAAGGCTCGGTTCCCCTGCTGCCTGCGATCGCGAAAAGTTGTTGACAGTACGCTTGCTGCTGGGGCTCACCTGCAGCGTCGCGCCCACGGCTGCGAGGCGCCGGCGCGCGTGCACGCTGCACGCGCTGTGGCACGGCGTGGCGATCGCCGCCATTGGCCTTGCCTGCCGCGTCCCGAGCGCAGCCCTGGGCCTGAATGGCAGCATTGGCGCTGCCCGGGCCAGTCACAGATAGCTTCACTGATTCACCTGGCACAGGCCAGTATCTCTCTCCTTTCTCTTGGGTACCAATAGCTTACAAAAATTGTTTCTGACAACTTACTAGTGGTTACGCGATCTGCACACCCGCTCGATTCCCGACGCCCCGGCCCTTAGCGGTCGCAAAGACCCCCGAAAACTCACAGTATCTCAAACAGCTGCAGTTACCGCCGAACTGCCCCAAGGCGCCACACGTTCCCCTCCTCCGGTCATCCGGCCCGGCAGCCGCCGCTCTGCAGCAGGTGCCACGCCGTGCCGCGTCTTGCTGCAGAAAAGGCATCGCCAGCCGCGCGGGACCGTAAACGTGGGTGGCACAATGGGGCGCCCCTGGCGGTGACAACGGCAGCGGCGGCGCTGCTGCGAGATGGACGCAAGCAGCGATGACGTCAGCAGCGGCGGCGGGAGGGCGGCGAGTCACACAGCGACGCCTCTAGCAGCGGCGGCGGCGCGTCGGCGGGCGACCGGTGGGACCCACAATTGATTATCTGTATCCGACCACGGAGGGAGACGACAGGGCGGCGGCGCAGTGCCAGGCCGGTCGCCTCGACTTTCGCCAACGAGGGCGCCCTTGCGGCTGGCCGGCTGCCGATCGGCGCCGCCGCCGCCGCCCCCATCGCCAGGCGTGATGAGCTCGAGGCCCGGGAGGTCGAGCCCGCCATAAAGCCGATACCACACGAGTTGAAGATGGACCATCAAGTCCCTCGCATGGCTGCATGGCGCGCTCGGCGGCGGCCGTGCCGCGGCATCCGTCAAACGCCGGCGGCGGCGGAGCTGCGGCCTTTGCGGCCTCTGTCGCGAGATCTAAGCTGCCCGCTGCACTTCCGGTCCAGGTAGTACTGCCCCAGCGCGTGGCCCAGGCGGGCATTCTGGTGGAGGACCAGCGGCGAGATTGGCCAGGTGGACTGACTAACGCCGGGCGGCGGGTCCTGCAAATAGTCCAGAGGGGAGCGGGTGCTGCAAGGGTGGGCAACGCTGTGAGGGGCTCCCTCAGGATGCTGTCGCCCACGGTGGTAATCCGTCAGGGCGTGGGCGCCCCGACATGGCGGCCCCGACCAGCAGCCCAATCAGCAGCCACACCAGCCGCGCGGAGCGCCGACACCGCCGGCGCACCTTGAGGTGGGCCACTTGATGTAATGGGGTGGAGAGAGCGTCGGGGTTGGGAGAGGGTCCATCGGCATGGCTTGTGCACTGGCTTGCAGGCGCCCGTGGTGGGTCGAGCGGCAGGGGGTGTTGACGGGATACCCTTCTAGGCTCCTCCACAGGGCAGTTTGCTTGGTGCATGATCAAAGTCGTGTCTCGATCACAGGGTGATGGGCAAGCGGGCCGCCCAAAAACGCAACAAGCGCACGTGGCAAGCTGCTGTGCTGCAGAGCCAAGGCTGACACCGCATGCAGTGGTCACCGGCCACGTGCAGCGATGTCAAGTATTTGACGTGAAAGAGATGCCTGATTACACACGCAGCGTGGCTGTGGTGCTCTACAGAAGCAAAGTGCTTTGTGGCGCTCCACATGTCACACTTTTGGGCCAGCTGAGGCACCGCCAAGCTGCGAGCTACTCTGCACCAGCTCTGCACATTTGCCCTACGCAATGACGCTCAGCCACCCAGCGTGACACCTGGCCGCAGGGGGAGGGAGAGGATGAGAATGCCTTGACGGAGCTGCTGCCCCAGGCAGCTTCTCCAGCAGTTCGGGTTTATTTGCAGCAGCGGGCTGACTTGCCCATAGAGCCCCGTGCGCATCGGCCTTGCACACTCCAAGCGGACCAAAGCAGAATCGCTGGGTGCAACCGCGCCGTCATGACACCGCATCTCAGCCGGGTGCCACCTTCACTGACATGGTCAGGCAGTCCGCAATCTGGCCCACCCAAACCAGGCATCATGCGTGGGCTGCAGCAGCTTGAGTATGCTGAATTTGTGGTCTGGAAGCTTTCCCAAACGCTCAGCCCCCTTGGTGCTGCCAGGGCAAGCAGCACTTTCTGTTGTGGCACCGGTGCCGATCGACGCCCCGCTGAGCTGCGATCTTGCAACCGCGTGACGATCAGCACTCGGAACGCACTGTGCCCTGTGATCCGAGCTTCTATACATCGTTGGCCAGCAAATCACCGACTCTCCACGCGCCTTGCACAGACTCGCCTTCAGTGTGCAGCGTCCCCGCAGCATCCTGCAGCAAAGGGCGTGACAAATGATCAAGAATACAATAATCTTCGTGTAATGTTGATAAGCGCGGGCCAGCGGTGCCAGCAGTGCCAGCGGGACCGATCATCCATGCTGTGCTAGGTGAATCAAAGGCAGGCATCTCAAGGGCGCCTGACGGGCCGAGAGCAGATTCTTGACAGGCGCAGGGGCCTACATATTGCAGCGGCCTACGGCACGCCCCGCACTGGGCGTCAGCCCTTGCGCGCAGCTGATGGGCGAACAAGTCGCTGCTGTTGTCGCAGCGGCTCACCCGGCACACAGCGCGATCGCACCAGCAGCGCTTCTGGTCCGGCAGCGTGTACTCGGGCAGCTGCTCTCCCGCTGCCCCATGCGTCAGCACGCCCACCCCCAAATCTGCCAACACATGCGCCAGCAGGCGGTCGCACTCGGCAGCAGCCCGACCCGGAGGCCCCTGCGCCGGCACGGGGCTCCAGCGCTCCGGTGGCGCGATGGGGGCGCCGGTGCGGCTCAATGTATATGACCTGACCCCTCAGAACGGATGGACTTATTGGTGCGTGCGTGGAATCCCCCCTGCCAGTGCACGGGTGCATGCGAGCGCAGAGGGCAGCCACCTGCATGCATAAGTTTGGGTGTGTCTGTGTTCGTGCGCATGGGCATTCATGCTTGCATGCCTGCTTACTTGCTGTACATGGCATGCGTGCGTAGCATTGCTGTGGGTGTGTGCATCGCTTCCACAGGCAGGGCAGGCTCCAAGCGCGCAGAAGACGACGTGATGCCGCCGCAACGCGCCTTCCAAGGGTAGCGGCGGCGCGGCGGCCCTCAGGCGCCCCAGCCCAACGCCTGCGCGCCCCCCCTCCGCAGGTGCGGCGTGGGCGTGTTCCATACAGGAGTGGAGGTCTTCTCTGTTGAGTATGCTTACGGCGGTGAGTCAAACAAGCTTCGTCCTCCGGCAGGGGAGGCTTCGCGTATGGAAGTGGTTGCTGCGACGTGGCCCCACGCGCGTGCAGCGCCGCTCAGGGTTTCAGAGTGCTGTGCACACAGCCGCGCCGCCGCTCGCGCCTCGTCGCCGGCGGGGGCCCGCTAGGGTCACAGGGGCCGGCGGCAGGCAAGCCAGCTCGTGCTCCGTGCCGCTGCTGACCCGTCGCTCGTGCATGAGTGGCTGCTGCTGCTTCTCGGCCGCACCCGCAGGCCATGAGTATGACGTCTCCGGCGTCTTTGCCACCAACCCGCGGGAAGCGCCCGGCGCGGGTGAGCGCCCCGGGCAGCGGCGGCTCTGCTTTGGGGCGTTGCGGCAGCGTGGTTCGTGGGCGGCTGCGCCCTGCCGCGATGACGGGGGGCGGGTTGCGCATGGGTGCTGCTCACTTCAACGACTTTCTTCAAGCTCAGACTTGACGTTGTCACCTGACCATTGCCAACCCTCTGGATGGCACCCCACTGTTTTCCAAAACCCCTGCAGTACTGTTCCGCGAGTCGATATACATGGGTGACACCGACCTGACGCCCGGGCAGGTGCAGGCGCTGGTTCAGCAGGTGGGCGGCCCTGCGGCGCCGACGCCACCCTCTGATGGCGGGCGCGGCCGGCGACGCTGCGCAGGCGCCGCCAGCGGCGAAGCGCCCTCGGCTGGGGAGCGAAAGTTGAGCGAGGCTTGCGTGCAGCCGCCTTCACAGCGGCTCTCGCACAGAGTGCGCGGGCTGGGGCGCAGCGCGTCGCCGCGCGCTCTCATCGCCGGCGCCAGCAGCCTGCGCCTGTGGTTCCAGGCCCCGGGCGCTGCTTCCTCGCGACGCCGCCGCCTGGCCCGCCCCCTTTCGCCGCCGCAGATGGGGCAACAATACAAGGGCAACGCGTACCACCTTTTGCAGAGCAACTGTGCGCCTCTTTCCCGGCCCATAGCAGGGGCGCCGCGAGCAGTGGCAGCCAGGGGGGGCAAGCCTGCGGTTTACGGGTCCGAGTCGTGCCCCGCACCCTCAGACCCGCATCTGCGTCATCGCCCGCAGCCGCCCCCTGTCTCAGGGACCCCTTCCGGCACGGCCCTTGCCGCACCCCCCACTGCAGGCAACCACTTTGCCTCAGACCTGTGCCTGCAGCTCGTGGGCCGGCCCGCGCCCTCCTGGGTGCGGGGGATCTTCGGGGCGCCGCAGCGCCTTTGGGGGCGCCCGCCACCTGCAAACCCTGGGCCCGCCATGTGGTGCAGACTAGAGGGTCCCCGCCACACACACGCACACGCAGCACCCGCCTCCACCGCATGCACCAGCGCTCGGCCGCGGCTGCGCGTCGGCCGCCCATGCACACACGCGTGCGGGCCCTCACACACGCGAACACCATCCTCCTCGCCCCCCTCGCCGCCCCTCCCTCGCCGGCACTCTCACGGCCCGCCCCCCTGCTTCCTGCACCCGGCCGCCAGATCAACCGGCTGGCGGGGCTGGCGGTGATGCTGCACTGCCTGCTGCCACCGGCGTGGGTGCCGGCGCTGCAGACGCCCAGCATGAGCCCGGATGAGGAGCCGCAGGGTGCGACAAAGGGGCGACCGGGGCGCCTGCGCGACGCCTGCACCCCCGGCTCCGTCGCAACGTGCCGCCGCCCTCATGGCCGCAAACCAGCGACGGCCCGCTGATCGCGCCGCCGCTTGTCATGCCCCGCCCATCCCGGTGCTCATCACGGCTCCGCGCGCCCGCCCGCCGCATCCACCGCAGTCCTGGTGTCGGGCCGCGCCCACCCGCGGCGGCAACAGAAGGACGCGAGCCGCCAGCAGCTGCTGTCCCCGGGGGCGCCCTCGTCCTCGGACGACTTTTTGGACCCCCCTCGGCCGATCACGACGCTCGGCGGGCGCGCGTGACGGCCGCGCCGCGCCCGCGGGCGCGCCGGCGGCCGCTGCGGCCGGGCGCGGTGTTGCCGAGTAACCGGTTGCTGGAGGCGTCCTAGGAAGAGGAAACCTTGTTGATGTTGACCCGCACGGTGCGGTGCAACCCCACAGGACGCCCGGATTGCATCCTGCAGGCGCCTTTCGCCGACGGCGGCGCCGGCCGCACGCTGGCGGTCGGCGTGGCCGGCCTTTCCAAGGCCTGGGATCGGCCCCCGCGGGCCGCCGCGGGCTGCGCCCCCGCCGCCTCGCCCCGCTGGCGGCCCCTAAGTTTGGCCCCCACGCCGCGTTCATGCTCTGCGGCTGCTGCTGCCTCCGGCTGTGTCGCCCTGGCTGTGCCGTGCTGGTCCAGGCTGTGGCGCGCCTGCTCCGGCTGCTCTGGTTGCAGCACGGCTGGCTGTCACAGCAAGCCCCTGTATATTGAACTATTGCCCGCCGTGTGTTGCCCTGATTGTAATATTATCCCCAACGGACGAGTGGTCGTTGACAGCCTGGTGACGCGCCACCTGGGCGTGAGTACGCGCATGTGTGTTTTGGGGGGCAGGAGCCACGGCCGCCGATTTGTCGCAGTCGGTGCGAGTGGCGCCAGCCGGTGCTGAGCTCCGCGACGCAGTGTGGGAGCCCGCAGATGGCATTGCCGGGGGTACGGAATGGTTTGGATGGGGTGGGGACGCGAGAAACGGGGGGCCCCGGCGGCCGCAGGCATGGGAAGGGCACCAGGAAGGGCAGTGTAGCAGGCAAAGCGGCAACCGAAGCCGTGGCGCGAGTTGACACAGGGGACGGCGGTGCAAAAAGGGTCGCGTTTGGATTCGTCGATCAATATATTGGCAACATGGAGTGTGACCCATCCTCCCCGTTCCTCCCTGCTGAGGTGCTGCGCAAGGTGCAGCTCCTGGCACTGAATGGCGAGCCCAACCCCTCCAGCCGCCTGCTCCTGCTTCTATCTATGTGCGGCGTATGCCATCAGTGGCGGCAGCTGTGCAGCGAAGTGGATCAGGAGACAGCTCTAGCTTTCGACGGATTGGAGACGGCCCCTCCAGCCCGCGGGGGCGTCATAACGCGGTTCAGAAAGACTCCGTCGTCGAAAAAGACTGAGGTGTTTGAGGCTGCAGCCAGGCTGCTGACCGGTGAGGCTGGCCAAAGAGGACGGAGCGCGGTGTGGCCCCATTACCAGCGGGTCGCCCGCGAGCGCGATAGCAGCGGTTTGACTTGGCGATCGCATTGCTTGTACGCGCGACCGTTGCCCCTGGGGCCCGCTGTATGCGAAACTCCCGGCCCCGGTGGCTGCAACGCTCCACCCAAGGCACTTGCCTGTGCGAGAGGGATCCTCGGAATGGGGGCGTGAGGTGCTCGAAATCGTGGCCGTGTCGTCCACCCGCCCCGGGGCCCGCCGTCTGGGGCCGGGCCCACGGTGCAGCGTACCAGGTGGCAGCGCGCTAGGCGGCGGGCACCAGCCTCGTCTCGACCAACGGCCCTCCCTCTCATCGTCTAATGACAGGATATGGCGAAGTCTCCCTGTCCGGCGACTGCGTGACCGACGCCGTCCTGGCCGCGCTCGGCGCCGCCAACGGCCCGCAGCTGCTCAGCCTGCGCGTACAGTCGGCCGGCGCGGTCACGGACACAGCGCTCGCCGCGCTGTTCGCCGCCGCGCCACGGCTGCGGCACGTGCAGCTGGCCGACCTCGGGCCGCACGTCACGGGCGCCTTCCTGCCGGCACTGCTGGGCAGCTGCCGACACCTGCAGTCCCTCCACTTGTCGGGCGTCCCGGGGGTCGATTGGTCGCGCATGGACTGGGCCCGCGCGGCGCCCGCGCCTGCGCCCGCCGCGCCCGCCCCCGCGGCCTGCCGCGCGCTGCGGCTGCCTTCGAGCGCCTGCGAGGAGGCGGGCGCGGGGCCGGCCGGTCGCGGGGGGCGCGGGGCAGACGCGGCGGGGGACCAGCCGTGGCCGGCGTCCCTGGGCGCGGTGGCTGCGGCCAGCAGCAGCGGCCGCGGGCCGGCGCTGTCACCCCCGGCGTCGCCGATGCAGCAGCACTACATGCAGTCGTCGCCGCTGGGCGGCGGGCCAGAGCAGCAGCAGCACGCGGGCGGCGGGCGGGAGGCGGGCGCGGGGGGCAGCGGCGCCGCCGGCGCCAGCGGAGGCTCGGCGAGTGACGGCGGCGGTGTTGTCGCCTGCAACAGCAGCAGCAGTAGCAGTAGCGCCGCCGCCCCGGCCGCGCCGCGCCTCCCGCTCCCTGCGGCGCACCCCGCCGCCGCCACCACTGCTGCGCCACCGCCCGCGCCCGTGCGGCAGCCACCACCCGCGCCGGCGCTGGCGCGGCTGCACGTGCGGGGGGCGCGGCTGGACGGGCTGCCGCGGCTGCTGGCGCTGCTGCCAAACTTGACAGAGCTCGAGCTCGACGGGCCAGCAGTCAACATTCAAGTCGCGTCGGTCACCTGGTGAGTCCGCCCCCTCCATCCCCTCTCCCCCCCCCTTGCGCCCGCACCCGCTTCACGGCCGCCAGCAACGGCGTTCACGTCTGAAATAGTGTAAACGTACGGCGCGTCGCTGCCCAGCAGCCAATCCCTGCGGCGGCTGTTTTCCTAATCAGCCAGCCCACGCAAGCAGCATACGGC